CGTAAACGAAATGGCAGCCCGTCCGCACATGGTCACCGGCCACCACTGAGGGTGTGGAGGATGGTGGACCTCGGTTTCTGTTCCTGTGCAAAGGCTTTGTTGGAAATATGGGGGTTTCCACCAAGATGGAGGGTGGGGGGTTGCCTGGGAGGATATCTGAATGTCAGACCACCGGACCGGCTAGTTCATGACGAAGAGGGACAATAGGGCCAGTGCTGGGGAGAGAGGGTCTGCGGGCGTCTGTGACGGGTCTGCCCTTGAGCTCGGGAAGGCCCGGCAGCGGTTCACCGGCAGGCCCTGGGGCAGGCCCTGGGCGGCAGCGCCATGCTTACAGCTGGACGTGGGAGTGGGCCTGCACGCTTCTCGAATTACGGGACTGGGAACGAGGCCTGAATATTTGTAAGAGGTGGGTCACTGTGCTGGGGCAGCCGGGTCATAGCACCAAGGGCCAGGCGGACATTTATTCCCACAGCCTGGAGGCTGACGTCGGAGATCGAGGGCTTGGCAGGGTTGGCTCCTGCGGAGGGCTGTGGGGGAAGAACCTCTTTGCAGATGACGCGTCCGCCTGTGTCTTCACATGGCCTGCCTCTGAGGGAGGCTGTGTCCTAACCTCTCTCCTGGGGACACGGGCGGATTGCGTTACGGCCCACCCCGATGACCTCATCTAACGCCATCACCTCTTTAAGGACCTGGTCTCCACATACAGCCGCATTCTCAGGTGCTGGCGGTTAAGACCCCGCCATAGCTTTTGGGGGACTCCGTTCAGCCATAACGAGAGGTGCCCCCCTGGGGTCTGAGAGTGGTCAGGCCCTGCTCAGGACGGTGCTGAGCTGCGCCACGGTGCTTCTTCGCTTCCCCTCATGGCCCTGAGCCACAGACAGCTCGGCGGCGGGAACCGCAGGCTCGGAATCAGCAGCGGAAGCCCTGGGAGGGACAGGGTGTCCAAACCACTGAGGGTCCCGCTTCTTGGGGGGCTGGAGGCCCGGGGCCGGTGTCCCTGCGGTGGCCAGTGACACCAAAGCTCCCACGTGAGGCCGCCTTGCTGCTCTGTGAACAACGTCGGCTCAGCCTCGCCAAGCCGCCTGGCCCTCTGCCCCTGTCGACTGGCCAGCAGTCAGTTCTGGGCCTTCTAGCCTGGGGGGCTGGCTCCACCCTGTAGCCCCACCTTGAGGAGCCTGAGCGTGCAGCTCGTCCCCTGCCCCCTGCAGCTCGCCTAGGGGTGCAAACTCAGGAGGCAGCCATCTCACCGTCAGGATCAAGTTGTGCAGATGCAGGATTCTGGAACAACCTAGACCTACTATCTAATGAAGGGACTTAGAGACAGGCCAGGCTTCCTTGCTGCCTCGGCGACGGCATCCGAGCATTAGCGTGAAGGTGCCGTGGGAGGGGGACAGGCTGGCTGTTCTGCCTCCAGGCTCCTCGTAAGCAGTTGGCGTCTTCGGAGGCCTGGGCGCTGGGGGCTCATCCCGGTGTCCTTCAGGCAGGGTGAAGGGCTGCATGCTGGGCCTTCTCCTCTCCGTGTATCGGGCACTCACGTCGGGGAGCAGCGTTGTGGCCAAGGGCTGGGCTCTGGCTTCCCTGTCCTGAGCGGCAGGTCTTAAAGCCGCTGGGCCTCCGTTTCTTCGTCTGTAACATGGAGGTCTAGACTCCAGGAACCCACCTTATGGGATTTATTATCACTTCATAGTCATCAGGAACCTGCAAACGAAGATCACTGTGTGATACCGTGACACCCCGGATTGGGCCCAGGGGACTCTGACCTACGGAAGTGTGGTATGCTGTCGGGAAACGGATACGAGTGCAACCCGCATGGGCACAGTGTAGCGTTGTCTGTAGGAGCTCAGACGAGCACGGCCCAGCGCTGCGGGTTCTAATCCTGGGGCGTCACCCAGAGTTCCCGATGCCCCGAGCACGGTCGGTCATAAGCAGAGGTGACGCGCAGACGGAGATGATCAGGATGGAGCGTCACCAAGTACTTCGCTTGCAGGGGAGCTGCTTAGCTTGCAGCCCTGCAGCAGAAACGCAAGCTTGGGTATTTGTTCGGATTTCTGTTAGAGAATCTTAGACCCTGAAGCATCATCTGCTACATTACAATAAGGTCCTACAGAGGACCTCAAGGGGAAGTGCAATGAAATGCATTTCCTGACTTTACGGAAGAGCTCGGTGCTGTGTGTTTTGAACACGGACGGTGGTGGTGGTGGCCGGCGGGCGCCGCGAGCATCAGACCCCATGGGCTGCATTTGCAAGAATGGAGTTCTATTTAAAAAGGAAAACTTGAGAGTGCTGGACTGTGTGCAAACGTGCAGAGTCTGACTTACACTTGTCTGGTCAGAGTTAAGCCGTTTTTAGGCGCTCTCGGCAGCCTGAGTTGCGCCTCCCCCACCGCACTCCTGCTGTGTCCATCGAGGCCGGGGAGAGGCTGGGGGCGTGCGGGCCGAGCGGGGCAGCATCCAAGCAGACGGTCAGCACTGGGTGCTCTCGTGGGGTGGGCATGTGGGAGGACCCCTGAACCGCTGCAGCTGATGTTCCTTAGTATGGAGTCTGGCCCACAGGGAGTGATGGAGTCATGCATTTGGACCCCACTTCTGGGGCGTCCAAGCCAGAGACTGACAGCCCAGGCAGGTGGCCAGCAGCAGGTCAGAACACGCCAGCCTCAGGAGAGCCCAGGGCCACGCTCACCCTCGGGTCCCGGGAGACCAGCAGACAGCGGTGGGACCGACCTGGGGTGACCGTGGAAGGACAAGGGCAGGTCGTGAACGTGAGTCATAAAGAAGGCTAGCTGTCGGAATGAAGCTCCAGGCCACATCCGTCAGCCCTCGTCAGGGTCCCTGCCGAGCCCCGGGGTCTGGGGCAGGGGGCCAGCTGGACCCCGGAAGCCAGGGTTGCAGACAGGGGTGTGGTGGTGGTGAGGCCCTGAGAAACGCGTGTCTAAGGGTCAGTGCAGCTCTGCAGGGAATCCTGGGGATGGACTTTTCCATCAGAGACTCAGGCAGCCCAGGGACCGGCTACTTCATAACCTCAGGGTTGAACTAGATTCCCGAGTGAGAGACTGCGTTCGCACAGACTTGTGCTCGAGCATGCATGGTCGCCAGGCGCCATGGGCAGGTGAGTCGGCAGACTGGGACCTCCGCGCGTGGAAGGTCGATATGCCTTCAGGCTGAATGGTGGTGTATACGTTGTGCTGAGCCACAAGGCAGCTGCCGGGTGTTTCTACTCACGTGAGCCTAGAGAAAAGGAAGCCGGATCCACAGTGCCAGAGGCTGGTGGCGTTGCCAGGGCCTGGGCGCTGCCTGGGCAGGGACGAAGGGAAGTGCCCTGATGTGACCACGGCCCCCATGGCCGTGGCTTTCCAAGTGCCCTCACCCTGCGCACCAGTGAGCACATCTGAGCTGTGCTGAGCTGCACCTTGATGGACATGTACCTCGTGCCCCAGTGATGGAATCAGCAGGTCGGCCATGGAACCTGGGAATCTGCTTTTAAAAGCATCACGGCTGATACGGCAATCTATGTGCTGGCTTCTGGGGACCCTGGTTATTCTGGTGGGAGTGCGGGTAGAGAGCCTGCCGGTTAGGTGCTAGAGGATGGGCATTGGTGCCGGGTCCAGACAAAGCCATTAGCTCTAGTACATGGAAGGAGTACGTCGTCAGGCCTGGCCTGGCTGGCATGTTCGGGACTCTGCCTTCCAGAAGCGTCCCCTGCCCGTGGGAAGCGTGTGGACGCAATCTCACTGCCTACGTTGGAATCTGGTGCTACTGCTTCTCACGGCTGGACCCCGAACAAGTCAGCTGTCTGTGCTGCTGTTTGCTTGGAGGGGACGGTTTGCAGTGTCCCCAACAATGTAGTAGGAAGTGTCTTGCTGTCCCCGTGTGTTTTCTGTTGTTTAGGTTCAGAGGATCAGTTACAGTAACTGCGGAGTAACCAGTTAGTAACAAACCATCCCAGCACTGGTCTGAGACAGACACTGCCCTTAGTTGCCCTCCCTGTCCCTTCAGCCACAGCAGGCTGGTGGCTCAGGGCTGCGGAGGGGCTGTGGCATCCGAAGGCCTGACTGGGCCTGGACGGCCAGCTTTCGCTGCCAACGTCCTCCTGACACGGCAACTGGCTCCCCCTGAGCCGACCACGTGAGGACCAGGGGCCGGGCAAAAGTTGTGCTTTTGCGACTCAGCCTCAGAAATCACAGCGGCCTGTTTCCAGCACAGTCGGTTTGGTCTCGGGGGGCAGCCGGCCCCCTGGTGCCCCCAGGTGTGCTCAGCTTGTAGAGTGAAGCAGGACCTGCCCCGGAGAGTCGGGGAGCCTGTCTCAGAGCCAGCTCCGCGCCCCATCCCCAGAGAGCATGCGGGCCCCTCTCCTGCGGACCACGGGCAGCCCTGAGTTTGGATCACAGCTTCCTGCTTGGTTCTCTGCCACGAGGGGGGGTTACAGGGCAGCTCACAGGACAAGCGCAGCCAAGAAGTGTGAGCTTTGGGCTTCACTGTTGGAAGTAAGAGATGCACGTGGAAAGGGGAGAAAGACTGGTTAGGCCCCTGGGTGAGTCACCGTGCTGTGCCAGAGCCCAGACAGAGGCTCTTAGCTTCCAAGTGCACCACAGTGTGGGAATTAAATCGTTGAGATAGTATGGATCTGTTCTATAGAGATTTCATGTGCAGTTTGATCTTTTAAATGATGCTAAAAAACGTCTAAAATAAAAACTATCTGTAATGCTTTTTCCTAGAGGTAATCAATCACTAGTAATATTTGGGGGCATTCGTTTAGGTTTTTTTCTTCCTTTCTTGTGTGCATGGGTGTGTGTGTGTGGTGTGTGTGAGAGTGTGTAGTGTGGGGGGGGGCGGTGTGCGTGACGTATGAGTGGCTTATGTCCCTTCCAGAAGGAAAGGCCGCAGAGAGTGGCATGAGTGAGCCGCTGGCTGGCGGGCTCTGCTGCGCGCCCCGTGGGTCGTCCTCCGCATGCTGCCGCCGGGGTCCCGGGCGCCCGTCCTCACTGCTGTCCCTGTCCTTTCCAGGACGGCTCTTCTCAGTGAAGGACCTTGCACTCGCTACTGAGTAGCGACCATGGGCCTGCTCGCCTACCTGAAGACCCAGTTCATGGTGCACCTGCTCATCGGGTTCGTCTTCGTGGTGAGCGGGCTGGTCATCAACTTCGTCCAGCTCTGCACGCTAGTCCTCTGGCCGGTGAACAAGCAGCTTTACCGCCGGCTCAACTGCCGCCTCGCCTACTCACTGTGGAGCCGTGAGTGTTGCCTGCGCTGCGCATGCGGGGAGGTGGGGGCTGGGCAGCAGGGGGGGGAAAGGACGTCCTTTGTGCCAGATGAACCCGAACCCCGAACAGACCGGCCTGCACTCCCTGCCGGGCGGGGGCCCCTGGGGTGGGGAATGCTCCCGATGACACATGCGGCAGGTGGGGCCCGGCTGGCGGTCCTCACGCGGGAACGGAGGGGCTGCTCAGGGGTGGCCGGCAGACGCGTGGAGGATGCTCAGCCTCTCCACGGGGTTGAGCCGAATGACATCCCGACAGCCGACTGCTTGGACCCACCGAGGACGCCGTTTTGTATGGTTAACATGGTCTTGGATATTTGAGGACAGATATGAACTCGGTTCGCCAGCTGGGCAGCGGGGCGCTGCGAGCCAACCGCGGGTGGCCTGTCCGCTCTCTGGTGCATGCGAGCACCTGTCTGTCAAGGACAAGGACCCTTGCCCGCTTTGATCTCACGTATGCGTGTAGACGTGTGTGTCTGTGGCCGACGTGCATCTGCGTGTGCGTGTGCGTATAAAATCAGTCCCCACCTGCTGGGTGACGGAGACGCCAGCGCCCCACAGCAAAGCTCACGGTTGCCGGGGCTGGACCATTGTCCCACAAGATACGAACGTGCCTGAGTGCTCCCTGCAGAAGCGCCGTCAGTACAGACCTTCTCCTCTTACCACTTGGACATCAGCACAAACCGGCAGCCGCCGTAGTGCCCCCTTCGCGGGGCGCAAATACGGTGAGTGCGCCATGGGACCCCGCAGCCCTGACCAGCGAGGGCGTCTCCCTACTGACGCAGAGCCATCTGCAAAATACATTTCTAAGCGAAAGGGGAAGGCGCACAACGAGGTTCAGGGCACACTGCTGTTTCTTTGAGGATGGCGTGTGCTGGGTGTGCACGTGTGCATGCTGGTCGTGCCTGGAGGGTCCCCTGGGTCACCAGGAAACCGAATACCCAGGGACTGGAGGAACGAGGGGCTTCCACTTTGTGCATTGTTATGTTTTACTTATTTACTGCTTGTTTGGTTTTTGTTTTTTTCCTTTTCCTTTCTACTATTTACATTTATTTACGTATATGTGTGACTTTGCGCTGTTTACGTTTTTGAGCTTAAGACCATGTTTCTTTTATAGTAAAGAGAAAACAATACCCATTTTATATCCCCTGGGAAACGGTGAGTCTCCGTTAGCCTCCCAGCTCGGGAGCAGAGGCGGGAAGACCTCCAAGGAGGCTCGGAGGCCCGCTACTTCCCGCGGCCTCAGCCGAGACCGGCGAGCTGGCCCATAGCTTTAGCTTGCCTTACACGCTCAACAGCTTCAGTTCCCAGGGTTTGGTTTCTCTTTCAGATAAAAGATTTTTGTGGGGGTGGGGGAGGGAGAATTAAAAATCCTGTCGTGTGAAACATACAATGAGCTGCTCGTGAGTATAATTGGGTAAGAGAAATACACACCAAAAGGGCAAATACTGATTAATAAAAACTAAATTGTGACTCCACCTGCAGCAGGATTGTAAGGTTAAAACACTCCCAAACAGCTCAGTCCTGGATGAGGTCGGCTTGTTAGCACGTGGCTGGGGGCACAGTACGTAAAGGGAACCTCTTAGTGCTGCCCCATCCCCTCAGCAGAGAGCGGGGGGCTGGCACTGAACCTTGAGCTTGCCTTCCAGCAGCCCCAGATGGACCAGCTGCAGGGGGGGGACTGGATTTAACTGGACCCGGAGCCGTGGCTGGGTTGGAGCAGGTTAGCAGTGCCCCTTGGGATCAGCTTGTCTGGGGGAAATACCTCCCACTTTAGGCTCGAAGAATCTCACAGATCAGGACAAAGCAAATATGAACTCATAGTCGGAGGACAAGAGACATCCGGCAGATTTAGACAAAACACTAGCAAATGGTGACAAAAGAATCAGATAGAACGCCTATAAATAAAAATTGTAATTGTAGAGTATTGTTAGAGTGAACTGTCAGCTCGTGCTGGTGAATGTGACGTCACGTTGGACCCAGCTCATGGGAGACCAGGCACAGTGACGCGAGTGTGCGGCAGAGACCCGGGAGGAGAGGGTGACACGGGCTGAAAGGAGGACGGGGAGAGAGGCTGGATCTGTGGAGGGGGCGCGGCAGGCGGTGCTGGGACAGGATCCTCCTGGGTGGATGAAGACGTGGTGCTGTGACTCCTTGAGGACAGCGTGTTCCCAGCAGGGAAAATAAACCGACACACACGCTCAGACACGCCCCAGGGAGGTCACACACGGCGGAGACAAAGAGCAGGTGCAGAAATACCCAGACGGGAAAGCCCGACTGCCGGCAGGAATGGACAGACCGACCGACGGCGGTCGTTCAAACGAGGGTGACCTAGAACAGTCTGATGCCAGCCAAGAGCGGCGGCACTCGCGGCCCATGATATGCACCTGACATTCCCGTCGGAGAAGTTCTTTAGGAAGAACAAAAGCTATCATACAGCAGGGCCTGAGGTGCTGGAAAGAGGGCAGTCAGAGAAATTGGTGAGTAGGTACATCTAAGCGATGCTGTTAAGTAATGACCATGCCCGGTTTGTGAGGCTGAGCCAGAACCAGTCAGGGCGGAAGCGGGGGTGGGGGTCGGGGGGGGCTGTGTGTGTGGGGTGGGGGAGGGAGGGAGGGAGGGGACGTTGGGGGAGAGTTCCAGTCCCACTGGGCTCACTTCTCCTTCTGGTATTCGCCAGGAGGACAGCAGTCTCTGATGTCAGACTTTGCTAACAAAAGGTGGGGTGGGAAACAGACATCATACTAACTTGAGAACTCTTAGAAGATGGGTTAAAAAAGCAAAGACAAATGCATTTTTGTAACAAAGACAACGAAGTGGAGGAAAGCCTGAGAACAAAACCTGTCTCCCGGCGGGAAGCAGACTGGAGTGAGCCCCTTGTGTGGGGAGCATCCCAGACGCCAGCGAGGGGCGCCGGCCTTCTGTTGCTGAGCGCGAGGCTGTGGGAGCCCCCGAGGGACCCGCTGAAGCGGGGGTATTCCACAGGTGTCCCCCTCCGAATTGGACTGAGTGGAAGGCTCCCCCAGATTACAGGGGCATGCGGGGAGGGCTGCAGTCACATCATTGTTTTAATGACCCTGAGCCACTGTCCAGTGTCTGGCTGGACAAGAACCCTACTCTCACCCTGTGATGCCTGGCGCCCTCCCGCTAGCCGCCCTGAGCGCGTTCCCAGTGTGACCCTCGTCCGGGCCCTGGCTCCCGCTGACCTGGCCATGCCGAACCTTCCCGGCTGGAAAAGAGAAAATCGCCTCCCTCGCAGCCGCTCTATCCAGATCGAGTCAATGCCGGGAGTTTGAGAACGGTGATGCGCAGCGAGTGGCTGAAAGAGAGAGCTTGCTCGTTCTGAATGAAGGAAATCACACCGAAAAATGAGGGCTGGGCCCAGGAGCCCACCAGCAAGACTCCTTCAGAGTGCTCCCCCGCGGGGCCAGGGTTGCAGGCACCAACGGCAGGCTGGCAGCCGCCTGGCGGCTCCACGCTCCACGGACAGAGAGGCTGCTGGTCTCCAGATGAGATGGGCAGGCACCCCCACCCGCCGTTCCCTGGGCTGCCGACTGGCAGGCGGGGAGGAGCAGCCTGGTGCGCTCCGACAGAGCCGCTCTCCGGGACGGGCCGTGGCTCGTCCTCACAGAACGTCTGTTGGGGATTTGGGGTGCCTGTCCATCCGGCCCTCCATCTGCGGTCTCTGGGCGCCTCTGGAACACAGGGATGGCTGAGAGAGCCAGCGTTCATGGACATTGACCGCGAGGCGGCCCCGCTCCGGAGCACCTGCGGGGAGGGGGCTGTGCCGTCCCTCTCGCAGGTGGGGCCACACAGCTGGGGAGGGGGCCCCCCGAGCCAGCCTGCGGCTCAGCAGCGCACTACACTCCTGCCCTTGGCGGCTCTGAGTCAGGAGGCTGAGGCCGTATTGGCTCCTCTCGAACAAAGGATAAGAAAGAACTTGCCCGTGTCCGCGGCAGCGTCGTTCCCACGAGCCCACAGTCTGAACACGTGTCCAGCGATGGATGAACGGATAGAGAAAACGTGGTCCTACGTGCAGTGGGAAATTATTTGGCCTTTACACAGGGACTCCTGCCACAGGGGACAACACGGATGAAACCTCAGGACATCGCGTGAAGTGAGGTGAGCTGGTCCCAGAAGGACACGTACTGCCCCATCCCGCTTCCAAAAGGGACCTGAAATCGGCCGCACCCTGGAGGGGCCTAGGGTTGGTGATGTGGTGCGCCGTCCAGCCCTGTGCCCCATGGTAACGGTGCCGGATTGTGCACTGGAGGTGTGTTCGGAGGGCGCGTCTCAAGTGTTCTTACTAGGATAATGGAAAAAACGCTCCCCCATTCCCCAACAAGTCTCTTTAGAAGCAACAGTCTCCACCATAGTCCCTTGTGAACCAGCTCACCCCCGGGGACTTGGCGCAGGCCCTGCCAGGGCTGCCGCCATCCGATAAACAAGAGCCACAGAGAGAGAGAGGGCGGCTCTGGGCTGTGTCTCCCCGGTGGGGGGGGGGGCAGCTGCCCCCCCCCCCACATCAGCAGGGGACGCTTCCAGATGCGCAAGCGGCCGGCCTCCTGGCCTCTGCTTTCCTTCCTTTTCTTTTCAACAGCTTTACCGAGACAAAATCCACGCTTTATACAGTCCGTACAGCCCAGTGGTCCTGGTGTAGTCACCCCAGAAAGAAACCCCATAGGCACTCACAGCCGCCGCCATCCCCCAGCCCTGCAGTCAGTCAGCTGCCTCCTGTCTGTGGGTTTGCCCGTTCTGGACATCGCATGCAGCCCCTACGGGTCGGTCCTTCAAGACGGACTCACTGTTTCCCAGGCTCGCCCAGGTTGCGGCTGGGTCACGTGACGCGGCGGTGGGACTGGTTGTGCGGCCGGCCGTGGCTCGGTGGGCATTTGGCTGGTGTCTGCTGCTCGGCGCTTTGAGCATCCGTGCACAGGTGTTTGCAGGGACGCCTGTTCTCGTGGCTCCTGGGCAGATCCCTGGGGTGCGATCGCGGGGCCGTCCCCTAGCTCCGTGTGGACACCAGTTTCCGAGAAAGTGCCCAGCACGTGCACGGCGCCAGGCGGGGCTCCTGTGTCTCCCGTCGGTGTCTGGTGACAGCCATCCCGAGGAGCGGGAAGGGGTGTCTCACTGCGGTTTGGGCGCATCCTGATGGCTGGCGATACTGAGCATCATCTCGTGTGCTTGCGGGCCGCCTGTAAATACTCGAGAAAGGTCTGTTGGGATCGTTTGTCTTCCACGCCTGCGCCTTTCTCCAGGCTTGTGAATGCGGGCTAGAAGCGGCCAGGGCTAGCAGGGTCACTGGTGCCGAGTTTGCCTCTGACAGGTGGCCTTTTCCGCTGACCCTGCCTCGGGTTGTCTCCCGGGTGGCAGGGACTGTGGCTGGTGAGTGTCCAGGTATCATCTGAGGGGCAGACCTTCCATCCAGCTCCCACCTTACAGAGAAGGAAGGGACCCCAGAGGCTGCGTGATCAGCATCACATGGGGCGCAGAGCTTATGCAGCCCCCACCTTGCCCCAGGCTGGTGGGGATGCCCATCGGGAAGGGGGGACCAGCCCCAGTCGTTGGTTCTTGGGTGTTAACGTCGTGAACTGTGGCCCGTGGAGTCCTCCAGGGGCCCTGTAAGGAAGCCACTATTTTCTCCTTTCTGTAAATGGGGAAACTGAGGCCCAGGCAGTCAGACGTGGAGCCTGCTCTCCACGCCCTGGCCTCCATCCCCCAGGGCCGGTCCCATCAGAAGATGGAGGGGCTGGTGTTGAGCACAAAAACAACGGGGCCGTCCTACGGTGATCCTGAGCGCGAAAGCCGTGCTTCTTGGTCTGTGGGGTCACCTTTCTTAGGACGCCTGGCCGTGGTGGGCATAGTCACACTGCCGACCACGTGGCCCTGGGGCTGGCTGTGTGCATGCACCCACCCCCTGTGCCCCCATTCTGTGGATAAAATGTGATCGTCCCTCAAATCACAGCACCTGTGGGAATCATAATAGGACATAAAGACGTCCACCTAAGATTATGGTTTTCTTCCACTTCTGCTTTCCATTTGTCTTTTCCCTGACTTTTGTTTAGAAAAGGTCATTACAATTTTGGAAAATTAAATTTATGAAACCTAAACCATCAAAACTCATTTCTAGCTGGAAGTCCCACCTGGATGAACATTCTGTAAAAGTCCCCTGAGCACGGGCTTGGCCGGCACCTCCTGCAGCGGGGTTCCCGTATCCAAGCCCAGCGTCCTGCACCTGCTGACGCCGCTCCCCTGTGTCTGCAGAGTTGGTCATGCTGCTGGAGTGGTGGTCCTGCACGGAGTGCACGCTGTTCACTGACCAGGCCACGGTGGACCGTTTCGGCAAGGAGCACGTGGTCATCATCCTCAACCACAACTTTGAAATTGATTTCCTCTGTGGGTGGACCATGTGTGAGCGGTTTGGCGTGCTGGGGGTGAGCCACATGGGGGTCTTGGGGAGGTGCTGGGGGTGAGCAGTGCGGGGTCCCGGGGAGGTGCTGGGGGTGAGCAGTGCAGGGTCCCAGGGAGGTGCTGGGGGTGAGCAGTGCAGGGCCCTGGGGAGGTGCTGGGGGTGAGCAGTGCAGGGTCCCGGGCAGGTGCTGGGGGTGAGCAGTGCAGGGTCCCGGGGAGGTGCTGGGGGTGAGCAGTGCAGGGTCCCAGGGAGGTGCTGGGGGTGAGCAGTGCAGGGCCCTGGGGAGGTGCTGGGGGTGAGCAGTGCAGGGTCCCGGGCAGGTGCTGGGGGTGAGCAGTGCAGGGTCCCGGGGAGGTGCTGGGGGTGAGCAGTGCAGGGTCCCAGGGAGGTGCTGGGGGTGAGCAGTGCAGGGCCCTGGGGAGGTGCTGGGGGTGAGCAGTGCAGGGTCCCGGGCAGGTGCTGGGGGTGAGCAGTGCAGGGTCCCGGGGAGGTGCTGGGGGTGAGCAGTGCAGGGTCCTGGGGAGGTGCTGGGGGTGAGCAGTGCAGTATTCCAGGGAGGTGTTGGGGGTGAGCCACACAGGCATTCTGGGAAGGTGCTGGGGGTGAGACACGTGGGGGTCCCAGGGAGGTGCTGGGGGTGAGCAGTGTGAGGTCCCAGGGAGGTGCTGGGGGTGAGCAGTGCGGGGCCCCGGGGAGGTGCTGGGGGTGAGCAGTGCAGGGCCCCGGGGAGGTGCTGGGGGTGAGCAGTGCAGGGCCCTGGGGAGGTGCTGGGGGTGAGCAGTGCAGGGTCCCGGGGAGGTGCTGGGGGTGAGCAGTGCGGGGTCCCGGGCAGGTGCTGGGGGTGAGCAGTGCGGGGTCCCGGGCAGGTGCTGGGGGTGAGCAGTGCAGGGCCCTGGGGAGGTGCTGGGGGTGAGCAGTGCGGGGTCCCGGGCAGGAGCTGGGGGTGAGCAGTGCGGGGTCCCGGGCAGGTGCTGGGGGTGAGCAGTGCAGGGTCCCGGGGAGGTGCTGGGGGTGAGCAGTGCAGGGTCCTGGGGAGATGCTGGGGGTGAGCAGTGCAGGGTCCTGGGGAGGTGCTGGGGGTGAGCAGTGCAGGGTCCTGGGTAGGTGCTGGGGTTGAGCAGTGCAGTGTTCCAGGGAGGTATTGGGGGTGAGCCACACAGGCATTCTGGGAAGGTGCTGGGGGTGAGACACGTGGGGGTCCCAGGGAGGTGCTGGGGGTGAGCAGTGCAGGGTCCCGGGGAGGTGCTGGGGGTGAGCAGTGCGGGGTCCCGGGCAGGTGCTGGGGGTGCTCCACACGGGGGCCCCAGGGAGGTGCTGGGGGTAAGCAGTGTGGGATCCCAGGGAGGTGCTGGGGGTGAGCAGTGCAGGGTCCTGGGGAGGTGCTGGGGGTGAGCAGTGCAGGGTCCTGGGGAGGTGCTGGGGTGAGCCACATGGGGACCCCGGGGAGGTGCTGAGAGTGAGTGGCATGGGGTCTGGGTTTTCCTTCTCTTCTGGTGTAGCCCCTGGACCCTCTGAGCCCAGAGTCTGAGGTCAGGTCCACCCTCAGCTCCCCAGGGCTTGTCTTGAGCTCAGGCTTATTGCATTGCCTCCCATGAACCCGTTCTTATCCAGAGTCCCTACAGAGCTCCCTTGGCCAGCTGAACTGCCTCAGGGAAATGTCAAGGGCCCCCTGAGGCAGGCCGAACAGAGCACTGCAGTGAAAGTAGCTGTACTTTGCTGTCCCAGGTCCACCCTCAGGCAGCCCAGGGCCTGGTGGCTAGAGTGGGCACCCCTCTCTCCACCAGCCTGTGCCTCAGTTTCCTTGTCTGTAGGACAGCACGCCTGCCCCCTTGGGGTCGTGCAGAAACCAGTGGCCATGCTCAGAGCAGGGCCTCCTCGTTGACGGCAAAGTCACCAAGCACCAAGCCAGTCCCAGGGGCGCCTGTGGGGGTCTTGACCCTCACCGCCTGCCCCCTCCCTCCAGAGTTCCAAAGTCCTCGCAAAGAGGGAGCTGCTTTATGTGCCCCTCATCGGCTGGACGTGGTACTTCCTGGAGATCGTGTTCTGCAAGCGGAAATGGGAGGAGGACCGGGACACTGTCATCAAGGGGCTGAAGCGCTTGTCCGACTACCCCGAGTACATGTGGGTGAGTGCCCTGTGGCTTCAGTCCGGATGCCTTTAGGTCTCCTGACCCCCCCCCCCCCGCCCCCGACTATATGATTAGCTGTGGCCGACGAGAACCCACACTGGGGAGCAATTTCACAGCAGAACCAGGGCCCTCACCTGAGCTTGCAGGCCGGGGGGCCCCTCCCAGGCCAGCTGCTTCTACCTGCCCCAGTGCAGACCCAGAGCCCTGCTGAGGGGGCCTGGAGAGGAAATGAGCCCCCTTCCTGCATCCCTGGCTCCGCTGTGCGATGGAGCCGCCCTGAGAGCACCTGCCCAGCCCCTCGGGGGGCATTCTCTGCAGGGAGTAGCTTCCGGGGAGCCAGGCTGCACAGCAGACCCCAGGGACCCTGTGGTTCTGGGGATCGATTTGTACTTCAGAGAAGATTTAGCTTGCTTTCAAGAACATCCACCCCTCAGGCCCCTGGGGCAGGGGCTTCCTCCTATTTTTCCAGCCCCTTCCATGAGTCTGATGGGCCAGCCGTCCGAAGTAGTGGCCATCGGTCAGTTTGGACATCGTTTCTGTTTCTAATCTGGTCCCTGGAAGTATTTCTTTGAGAACTGGCTACTTAGTTGCATTTCTGATCCTCATGTTGAGGCAAATGGATAACAGACTAACGATTTTCCAGTCACTGGTGGGAAGGCTGCTGCCTGGGCACCCCTTCCTGTTCCAGTTCTTTCTGGGCAGCTGTCTTTGGCATTCTTGGAGAATCCGTGCCGTGCTGTTTGCTGTTCTCGGAGGGGCTCCGTGTGGCTGGAGTGTGGCTTGCAGCCCTAAATCCAGTCACATTGTACAGGACACCTCACTTGTCACTAGAGTGTTGTGTCATTGCTCCAGATCAGCAGCACATGCTCGGTGGGGGCAACGTTGGAGCCCGTCGCCTGGGATAACCCCTGTCCCCCCCCATGCCCTAGTTCCTTCTGTACTGTGAGGGCACGCGCTTCACGGAGAAGAAGCACCGCGTCAGCATGGAGGTGGCCATCTCCAAGGGGCTGCCCGTCCTCAAGTACCACCTGCTGCCCCGAACCAGGGGCTTCACCACGGCGGTCCAGTGCCTCCGAGGGACGGGTAAGAGGCCGCCGCTCTCCCTCGGGCTCTGCGTGCAGCAAGACATGAACGTGATTTGTCCAAGACTACAGGTCTTGTGAATGACGTGTAAAATGCAGGACAGCGGGACGGAAAGGGAGAGCCAGTAGGTGGAGGCACCGTGTGTAAGCTGGTCCTAGCGTTTCAGGGGTGATAAAATGCTAGTTAATGGAATAAATGATGAATAAATAATGAAAAAGTTGTGTAACTTAAAACCTTATAAAAGGAAAAAATACATATATCTAATGAGTCCCAAAGGAGGCAAGATCAAAGATAGGGACAAAGAACAGGGAGTACAAATAGAAAGCAACGAGACCATAAATCTGAACACAAATGGTCAGTAAATGCAGTAACGTGCATCACCCACGTGTGAGGCGAGGAGCCTGCAGGGCTGAGCTGGGTGCGGGGCTGAGTCAGGTGCTGGTGTGGGGCCCAGCGGGGTGCAGGGCTGAGTCGGATGCAGGTGCGGGGCCGAGCCGGGTGTGGGTGTGAGCGTGGGTGCTGACGCAGGCGCCCGCCCAGGTCTCACCCCTGCTGCTCCCTGCAGTCGCAGCCGTCTACGACGTCACGCTGAATTTCCGTGGAAACAAGAACCCGTCTTTGCTGGGAATCCTCTATGGGAAGAAGTACGAGGCGGACATGTGTGTGAGGTGAGTACCCCTCCCCGTGTCCCCAGCTCCTGGCACTGGGCCCCCGGGCACCCAGTGGAGGCAGCCTGCTCCCCAGAACTGCAGATGTGGGGACAGACCCGAGAAGCACTCGCTGTCCTACAAGGTGAAGGAGTGGGTCTGGGGTGAAGGCAGACCCTTCTGCATGCTCTGAAGACAGGAACAACCTCTCCTGCTGGAGGGACACAGAGGCTTTTTAAAAGGGGCTGAGCTTCAGCTTGGACAGTGACTAGGATTCCCATAGGCAGAAGGGTGAGCTGTCCCAGCCCAGGGGTCTGGTGTTCTTAATAAAAGGGGGTTTTGACTTTGACCCCAGCTCCAAGCATAATTGTAGGCCGGCCCTCCAGGTCCTCCTCTTGGCTGGATCTTCCCAGTTGAACTTGGCAGCCCCGCCCCTCCCGGTTCCTTCAAATGTGCAGGAAGGCCGGACCTTCCCTGGTGCGCGCACAAATCATGGGCCCTGTTAGCGCCTCTGCCTGTCACCAGCCAGCACTGAGTATCCACCCCGGTCAGACTGGCCCCCAGGGCTCTCGGAGGCCCACTTCATGTCAATCCCGAGCACATCTAAAACAGCAACCACACCCGGTTCCTCCCCCACCAGGAATAACTTTGTGAATGTAAAGAATAAGCCAGGGGGCTTTTTCCTCCTGAAGTTTGTAGTGGATTGGCTCAGAGGAGGTATAGGTTCTCTTATTCCATCCTCGGACGGGGAGAGAGCCCCAGGTCCTTGCCCTTAGACCTCTGGAACCAGCGGGGACTGGGTGGTCCTGGTGGCCTCCAGCCCTGGCTATGGCTCTGACCAGAACATGTGCTGTGGCCCAGGGCAGTGACAGCAGTGGTGGGCTTGGGGCCTGTCCTCACCCTCGCTGGCCCCTGGGCGGTCGGGGTGGCCCGGGGCTTGGTCTCAACCGCCCCAGGTCCCAGCCTGGAGGTGGCAGAGCTGGGCGAGCCCTCCTGGTCCGGCTCCAGAGCACCAGGTTGCACTGCTCCTCCTAGTGGACAGTCACCCCTGCCGGAGAAGACCTGTGCCTTACTCTGTTGATTGTCCCCTTTGTTGCAGAAAGCCTGGGATTATACTTTACCTAATCTTATTTTAACAGACAAGTTCTTAGAACGTCTAAAAGCTTCAGTGTGCTATTTTGTGATACTTACCTTTTGGGTATTTTGAAGGAAAGCAATATTCCAGTGAGTCCAAAACATGCTTATAATCAAACAAGACAAAGCTCTCGTCGGCCGATGGAGCTTTCCTCTTTTGAGTCCTTTTCCTGTTCCCCTCCTGGTGCAGTTGCGCTGGGGGCAAGGCCAGGGGCATTCGGTGGTGGTGGCCTGAGGCTCCCCGCGTTCATCTGGCACTTGGGGCCAGCATCCTTAAAGGGGCTTGAGTCCTCTCCGGGAGATAGGTGCTCATATATTTATTTTTTTTTATCATCCTTTTGAATTCTTATTTTATACTTTTCATACTGCGTACAGCAGACCTACACAAGGACCTGGGTGTGGTGATCCACCGCAGGATGTGGATACAAACCAGGGGAGGAGGCGGCCATCCCTCAGTGGACACCCCTTCTGAGCTTTGTCTCCTTAGCTGGGGTGCACCGGTTCCCAAGAGCTTTCGGGGTCCTCAGAGTTAGAGCATTTTTGTTTACGAGGGGTTCTACGTCTCCTTCACTCCCCGGGAGTGTAGAGTGGTTCCCAGAGGCTGCGTGAACGTGGCACCGCCCTCGCTCCCGTGTCCATGTCCTTGTTCTCGTGTCCGTTTTCATTTCAAATACAGTGAAGATCGACAGGTTATAACCCACATAAAGCAAAGCTCTCCACTTTTGGAAACAGTAGGGTTAGGATAACTTCAAACACGGAGATTTTGGCAGGCTGCTCTCACTCGGGCCCACCCGGTGGTGCCCGGCGGGAAGACCACCGCCCTGGTCATTCCTGCTCCCGTGTGTCCCTAGCGTCCCCTGCTGGCGGCCTCGGGTACTGCGGCTGCCGTGGGGCGCCCTCTTGCCCTGCTTGTCTCCCCCAAGACACCTGCGCTCCTGGGCGGGTGATCCCGCTGGTGATTAGGGTCATAAGTAAGTGTCACCGAAGTCAGCTATTTGTGAGTTAAGATTAAAGTTCTGAATCTCTATTGCTTTTCATATTTGGAGCAAGTAGATTTCCTTTGTGAACTACATAATCCTCTTTGCCTAATGGAAGACGCTCTCAGTTTTGATTATTTCTGAAGAATGGACTATTAGGAAAGACCAAAACTCCTGCTGGAGCTCACAAGTGCACACCCTTCTCAGTGGAAACGGGGGCGTGGTCTGTTCCATTAAACTGCCCGTGAGCCCCCCCCACCCCCGTGAAAAGTGTTGGCTGTGCCTTGGGGAAGAACACACCTCCCTGCCCTCCCTCCGTGGCCCCTGCTGCCCCGCGGGCCAGGTGCCAGCTGCTCTGCGCGCCGGCTGAATGCCTTGGATGTGTGTGTGGTTTTAGAACTTGAGAGTGAGGCCCGACCAGAAAAGGTGGGGCCGGCGAGTCCCCCCCACCACGCAGCGACTGCTCCCCTGTTTGATGCCATCCCACGGGTAAGTCACCGTGCTTTCAATCTTCTTACCCGAACAGGAGATTTCCTCTGGAAGAGATCCCACTGGATGAGAAGGAAGCGGCTCAGTGGCTTCATAAACTGTACCAGGAGAAGGTAAAGGCACACGGCTCTCCCCTCCCCCGGGGTCTCGGGAAGAGGTTTCCGAGGGGCGGCGCACGGGGCAGGCGGGTCACGCGTGCGGATTTCCGGAGACGGGAGGACCGTGTCGCTCTCAAACACTTTCTACCTTCTTTCCAGTGTCTTTCTTAACTTGTGAGAAATCAACACACTAGAGGAAGGTGTAAAGGATGGCATGGTCTTTACACAGCCGTGGCTGATCACATTTTGCCACATTTGGTTCATCTTTTCATGTAAAAACTGATAGATCCACAGCCTACATGTATCGTGTGTGTGTGTGTGTGTGTGTGTGATTTATAGAAGAGACACAGTCTAGGTGACATGAAGAGATCCGTGGGCCAAGCACACCATTCCTTCTCCATTCCCCTGAAATGTGCCACTGGCTTGTTTTAGATACACAAACATACAGGACACAGTATCTTCATCTTCAGCATTGCGGGGGGCTTAGAGAATGACAAGATCCTTTCCACATACAACAAATATCCTTTTAAAGGCACTGGTGAGCTTTTAAGGAAATAAGGGTCAGAGAAGAACTTGGAGCTGAAAATCAGGTCATGAGCCTGTGAACCAGGAATGCCACACTCCTGCAAGTGGCATTTGCTGGTCCCCTTACCCTGGAGTCCTGAGTTTTAATGCCTACCTGGAAACAGAAGAGAGGGGTTTGACCTCATTCCAAGCAGGAACTCACCTCGCACAGTGAACTGAAAGAAACATACCTGCCAGCACAGGGAAATGACTTTGACGCTCACCTTTCTCCTCTTGGTCTCAACAAGGTCTCCCTGATAATTCATAATCACAGGTCGGCCCTCAGAGGGGCTTGGGGTTTGAATTTATCCTAGCAATATAGTTCAGGGAGAACAAAGCCAAAATATCAACCCAACAAGTGGTTCCAGGCAAACCATTCCAGAGTTCCTGAGAGAAGCACATGCAGGACTGGAAGAACACAGGTAAAATCCTGCTGGAGATGAGCATGTAACCAGACCACGAGCACAGGGCGCAGAGACACAGAACAGAAGAGGTAAACTCTCCAAACACTTCAGCCAGTGGATCAACAGAGACTAAAATCAGTATGTTTGAAGTGGTTGAGCACAAAGAAGGAACTGAAAACAAAAGAGCAATACCGACAGAAAAAAGACAGATTTGAGAAAAACCAAGTAGAATTTATAGGCAGCAAAAATCTAGGCACTGACAGTAAAATTTTAATTAATAGATTAAATGGCAGATTTGATACAGCTGAAGAGAGAGTAAACTGGAAGATTGAGAAGAAATTGCTCAGAATGTGGCACAGAGGAAGTGCAAACATAAAAGGAAGTTGAGAAGACACAGAGGGCAGACCCAGAGGTCCAATATGTAACTATGGGCAGGTCCAGAAAGAGACAAGAGTGGTGAAGAGCAGGTGTCACAGATGACAAATGTAGAGCTTCTGGAATTCCTCAGGTTCAAGAAACGCAAGTCTGGAACAGGGTAAATAAAGAGAAATCCAACCACCCCCCACCCCCCACTTATCGATGAAATTGCAGAACACGAAAGACAATGAGAAGATCTTAGAGTAACCGGAGAGAAAAGACATACTTCCTTCGAGGGAATGATCGTGAAGTTGACATTAGACACATCTTACTATGTGTCAGGATCTCTTCTAAATGTCTTATACATGTTTTATCCTCGTAATAATCTCTCTCTCACACACACACACACTGACATACACATACATTATACGTGCACAGACATAATAAAAATAGAGTAAGCCCAGAGAGAATAGAACAAATAAAATAATAAAAATAGCATAAATCATTTTAACAGAAAGCAAAGCTACAAAAGAGTGAATCAACTGTACCAAATGCTTTTAAAAAAAAAAAACCTAATAAAATAGAAAGCCATGGGCAAGAGTGACCCATTAGAAGAGTGATAGCATTGATAGGAATGAAAAGATAAGCCAACCAAGGGGCAGAGGAGAATAATATGAGAGTAGCGTCACTAACTTTATGCTCATACATTTGAAAACTTAGGTAAAATGTATGATTTCCAAGAATACAACTCTCTCTGGATGAAAAATAAAGCCTACGTGAAGAAGAAATGCAGCATGTGTGATCAAGTAGATAGAAAGGCAGATGGATCTTGAACACACTAGGTTGCAAAGAAGAATCCATCTTGGAATCCACGGCAACATGTGAGAGTTTAAAACTCTTACAATAGACATTTGTGAGCAACAGTATTTTCAACACAAGAGGAAAAATAATGTAACAGTGCATTGTTGGGAAATAGGACATTGTGTGTGTTCATTTGCGATAATTCAGTCGCAATGAACAAACTGCATATCATCAGCAGAACCAGATCACGGGGACATAATGTGCAAATACATAATGTGCAAGCACGCACATGCTCCGTGCAGAAGGCGGCGTGGCGTACGGGCCGTGCACAGACTGTGTTCACGCGCACACGCCTGTTCAGTGCATGTGTGAACAGTGTCGGGGGGGGGGACAGAGGGGCCCAGCCAGGACACAGCGGCCTCTGGAGGTGACAGAGTAGGGGCCTCATCTCTGTCCCTAAGGTTCACTTTCTAGAATCATCTAACACAGATGCAGCAAGTGGCAAGGTTTGACATATATGACTTTTGGGGGGTGTTTTTCTATTATTTGCCATGTTTTTCTATACTACTGAAAATACATAATAACATTTTCAGTTGTTTTTTGTGTCACAATTAATTTACATCAAGGGTGCCATACTATATGTGAGGTGTTCTATTTTTTCTTCTGTCAGTCACCATGGTGTTTGTACCTGTCAGCATTGACGTAATAGATTTAATTCACTCCTTTTATTTTTTTAAGAAGGTCTTTTTCTATTGCCCTTTTTTTTTAGAGAAGGGAGGGAGGGGCAGAGGGCGAGAGAGAATCCCAAGCAGGCTCCGCACCCAGCACGGAGCCCAACGCTGGGCTCTGTCCCACGACCCTGAGATCAGGACCTGAGCTGAAACCAAGAGTCGGACGCTTAACCGACTGAGCCCCCCAGGCGCCCCTGTTTTTTTTTTTTTTTTTTTAAGATTTTATTTATTTGCGAGAGAGAATGAGAGACAGAGAGCATGAGAGGGAGGAGGGTCAGAGGGAGAAGCAGACTCCCTGCCGAGCAGGGAGCCCGATACGGGACTCGATCCCGGGACTCCAGGATCATGACCTGAGCTGAAGGCAGTCGCTTAACCAACTGAGCCACCCAGGCGCCCCCCTGTTTTTAATTTAAGTAAACTCTACCCCCAGCATGGGGCTCGCGCTCAAGACCCTGACCACACGCTTTGCCGGCTGAGCCAGCCAGGCGCTCCTGCCTCACTCCTCCCCCACAGGGAGACAGGGAGACAGCCGTGCTAGTCCTTCATCTTCCTGTCTGTGAACAGGTAGGCTGTGTCCCCCTTTGCAGAGCGTGTCTCCGAGACACACTCACGCTGTAACCTGTGGGCATAGCCTCTCTGCACTTCGCGGAATTGTTCTGAGCTGCGCTTCAAAGAGACCGCCCAGTTTGCGTCCCGCAGCTGAGCGTGAGATGCCCCTTGTGAGTAGAGGGTCCGGATGGCCCCTGCCAGGCAAGATGCAGACCCTGCAGTGACCAGCCTCGGCACTTTGATCCTGATGCAACAGACAGCTTCCGAGAGGCATTGATGGCTCCCGCCTTTGGTTATTCACCTGTTAGCTCCAGTCGTAACCTGGAGCCGGACCACAGAGTTCGTGCCATGCGGTTTTCCCGTTCCGCAGATGTGGGAGCTGACTGGCGGGTGCCGGCAGGGGGGGCGTCCCGGGCCTCCCGGTCTCTTGCCCTCACTCCTGCCGCACACTCGCTGCATGATCGGAACGGCGGGCAGTGGGGCGGTGAGGGAAATGGGACAGAGTCCTGAGTCCAGTGCTCTTCCTTCCTGGCCACTCGTGTCTGGGCCACGGTGACCGAGTGCCTGCCAGGCTTCCGGGAGGGGACACAGGTGGATGCGGTTGGGGGGTCTGCAGGCGGTGGTGGTGAGACCCTCTCTGCAGTTCCAGCAGAGGCTGGCGAGGGGAAGGAGGAGGTGGGTCAGGCGCGGAGTCGGGAGGAGGCGAGGACATGAGCTCTGAGAGCCAGCCCCACGGGATGGCCTCCGCCGGCCGGGCCCAGCATTTCCTCTCCGGGAACGAGTCCGAGTGTCCCCGTGTGCCGCGGGTGAGCACTGCTTCCCCGACACGCGTGGCAGACACGCGCCACATGCATGTGTGTGTACCAGCTACGCCTCCTGGACTGGGTCCCCGTTCAGAAAGGTATGGAGCTGCCGTCTGGAAGAAGCCGCGGACCCCGAATGCATGTGGTGGGTCCCCAGGACGGTGGGCGAGCTGAGCTCACCTCCCCGACCCTCCCAACACCTGCGAGCAGGATCCTGCCACCATTCCCGGGTGTAGACGTGGGGCCAAGCCAGCGGCATGTCAAGGCAGTGGGCTGGGGTGAGGGGCTCCCGGAGAGGCCCCCGGGAAGCAAGGGGTGCCCACAGGAGGGGATGCGGTGACAGGAGATGGCCCGGCCCCAGGCACGGCTGCCGTGGCTGCAGAGAGGTGTGCCGAGGGGGGCGTGCATGCGTGTGCACCTCTTCCACCAGTGAAATGCTCTGGCAGCTCGTCTCCCTGCGCTCACCTGCTTCTTAGCCTCCTGTCCGGAGACAGAGGAAGGAGAGCTGAGGTCGCTTTTCATGGGCAATGTAGTAGGTGCAGACGATGGTGGGACTGGTGCCCAGGCCTCTGGGCCCCCAGCCAGTCAAGGCCGCTGCCCCACCAGCCCACCCTCAGGAGGTAGCCGGAGGCGACCAGGGGCCGGAGGCGCCTGCATGAGCCCGGCTTTCTTCGAGCTTCCACAAGGGTCCTGCCATCCCCGACCCATCGCACACACAGTAGTTGCTTTATTGATGGGAACGTGGATGGTGGAGTCATTTCTATCGTCAGCCCTCAGCCCTTGTGGTAGGAGAGCATCTAAAGCCGCGTGTTCTCCCTCTTTCAGGACGCCTTGCAGGAGACGTACAACCAGAAGGGCGTGTTTCCGGGGCAGCAGTTCAAACCCCCCCGCCGGCCGTGGACGCTCCTGAACTTCCTCTCCTGGGCCACGGTCCTCCTGTCTCCTCTCTTCAGTTGCGTCTTGGGTGTCTTTGCAAGTGGCTCGCCCCTCCTGATCCTGACATTCCTGGGGTTCGTCGGGGCAGGTAACGAATGCGAGTAACACAAGCTCGAGCTGGGGGCCTTCCGTGCTCCAGCCACGGCGCCCGAGCCCGGGGGCCGTCGAGGTGGCCGGCCCGTAGGGAGCAGGCTCCACCTGGAGTCATTCCGGCCTCTGTCCACTAAGCCATAGGGTCGTGTGGACCACAGCCACGTCCCGGGGCCGTCTCCCTACAAACCGACCGGCCACCGGCTCTCAGGGCATCAGCATCGTATGCTGCAGCTGGGCGGGCCCCGTGTCTGCATGGTGACCGTCTGAGGGTCTCTGAGGACATGGGCATTACTCGACAGCCCTGCACAGTCCTGGGCTCTCGGGACTCCCCCGGAACCTTCGCAGACGGACAGGCACCCGTCTGTGCCAGGCATCTTGCAGGGCGCGGCAGCCCCACCAGGCCCATGGCCACCTCCTGCTCCCACCCCCGGAGCCCCCCAGACAGGCTGGCCCCTGCGGTGGGAGGGGGGAGGGAGCGGGGAGAGGGCTGGCCTGCAGTCCCCACGGGGGCGGTGGGGGAAGGTCAGAGGCAAAAGTCGGGAACCCCCGATATCAGTTTTCCAATTGGATGGCTAAGCGACCTGTCTAACCTTGCCTTTTTCCTATTTTAAAGCTTCCTTTGGAGTCCGCCGACTAATAGGAGTAACTGAAATAGAAAAAGGCTCTAGCTACGGAAACCAAGAATTTAAGAAAAAGGAATAATTACTGGCTGTGATTGCACATACATAACCTGACGGTGGTATCCAATTAACTCAATTAAAAACAGAACAACACACACAGATCGGAACAAAAGACCCTTAGAAACTATTTTTCGTATTAACTGGTGACTAATATTGACCAGTAAACCTTGAGCCAAGAGTGAAGCCGTCGGAGGCCCGCAGACAAAGACTCTGGCTACGCCCCTGCACAGTGGGTGAGAGTCCACCACGGAGCTGGGCGCGGGAGCACGTGTGTGCGGGGGCGGGGGGCGGCCACTCCTGGGATCACCAGTCCCGCCCCGATGTCATCTCGAGAGGACTCTGCCTGCCAGAGGGAGCCTGTGGATGCTTTCTCTTCTTAAACTTAGATCCCATTTTTGTTTTTATCGGTTATTTCGGGAACTCACCCTGGCCCTTCGCCTCCTCCCCCCACCCCAGCAAACCTTCCCCTGCTCTCCCAGGATGGAGGATTTGCAGGTCCCAGGCCCCCGAAGTGCCCACCTGTCCTGCCCAGCACCGCCCCTTCGCTCCGGCCGGTGGGGTGGGCGCGCAGAGCATTCTCGGGGGGACAAGCACACGCCGAGTGTCGGATGGACGGGTAGCCCCATTTCACTGTCAGACCACGGCTTGCCCGTTTCCCCCCAACCCCGTGTGTAAGTACCTTACATCTGTTTTTATAGTGAAGGGGCCCCTTCCCCCGGTACCTGAAGCCCCCGTCCCTCTTTCTCCCTGCGGCCTCCACGGGGCTACACCCCTGTCCCCGGTGCCGGGAGAGGGCTGCCCTGCAGCCCACAGGGCTCTTGGATGCTCGTTTAAAAGTATGTCACCATCAAACCTTGCTTCTGGAGGTGGTTGGAGACTGTTCACTTGGAGCTCGTTGGCTTCTAGAGGTTTTATTTTTACAGTTGGTCTATTGATGGCTCTCCGCTCCCTGATGCAAAGTAGAGGTGGTGAGCCTCCCCCAACTCCGCCAGCCTCCCTTTCCCAAGCAGGTGCTGGGGCCCCGGGGGTGGCCTGCCCCTGTGTGGCGGGTGTCACCCCTGGGGCTTGGGGGCACTGCTCCCCCCTGCTCCCCCCGCCATGGGGTGTCTCCCCGTGACCTGACTTGGGCCCGCGGCCCAGGGGAGCTGCGTGTTCTGCAGATGGAGGCGTGGGGCTGGGGCCGCTGGGCTGGTGGAGGGAGGTGCACGGGGGGCCCCCGGCACCCGCCTCCTGGGTCCCAGCTCAAGCATCCCGCTGCACGCCCCGCCTGCGTTGGACTTCCTTCCTAAACCTCAGGCGTGCTGTTTGCAAGTCACACTCCCCTCGCCCTGTTTAGCCAGGGAAGGAAAACTAGCGGTGTTAGTCTGGTGCCCTGTAACCAGCATTCCGAAGAGAGGCCCGCTGCGTTTTCTAGGAGAGGAGGTGGAGGAAAGGGATGGGAACAATAGAAACTAAACTGGACAAATAACTATGCATCAGCCCTTAGGTCTGTGTTTTGGGAGGACTTCTCGAGACTGCACACGCTCTTTAGGAGGACAATGCTGGATTCTGTGTGGTCGCCGTGGGGCAGGGCGAGACCGAGCACAGCCCCCGCGAGGCTGCAGGGCTGAGGCAGGACCGCCCCCCTCCCTGGCCGCTCAGACCCCGCACTGCAGGGAGGGACTGCCTTAGGTTCTTTCCCTTCACCGGGCGAGCTGCTTGCCTGTCCCCGTCTGTGTATGTCACTAACTCACTAGCACCTGGGACGTTTTGGAACAGCCGTGGGGCACCGCCGTGCAGACGCATCACCTACAAGACGCAGTTTAGATCTCCCACCTGTTAACCCTAGCTCTCGTTGCCCGGAGAAGTTCTCTCCCCTGGGAACCCCTGTGCGCCGGGGGAGTCTGCCCGGAGTCGCTGAGCGAGCCGCGCGGACTCCCGTTCGCACGGAGACCCAGGCCAGCGCAGGTTTTAAATCTCAGTGATTCCCTTCCAATCTAACAGATGAGCTTGTGCACTTGATGCCAAGACCTTGAGAGCAATAAAATCTATACCATGAATGTTTGGGGTTTTTTGTTTGTTTTTGGAGGGGGATGGAGTTGCTTTTCATCCACTTCAGAAGGAAAAGGAACAGGAACTCCTTTAATTTTTAAAATAAATCAGAATAGTGCTTTTCTTTTCCCTTTACGCCCTACAACTGAGTTTCCTCTGTTGCTGACGTCATGTCCAAATTAAGGCCGAATGCTTGGACCGTGTGGGCTGGCCGCGGTTGGGGTGCACTCAGGCGCCGGGCCCTGGGCATCCCCCGCGGGCACCCTACAGGCTGAGCTCGGAGCCTGGGGGCCGCTGGTGGCTCCTCCCTCGGCTCAGACCCACGCCCGGCTCTCGGGCACCTTCCCCGCGTGCACCTCGGCCCTGCCCAGTGAGTGCAGTTCGGGTCGTGGTCACTACCCATGTGTCCAGCTGAGGAGAGGACCCCAGCTTGTTTACCCCCCTCTGGGGAGTTCCAGGGGCTCCTAAGGTGCCATGGCGGCTACCAGCACCTGGGGACTCTGATAGCAGTGTAAGTGACCGTCCCCACTGCATGGGGCTAGGAGGCGCTGGGGAAGGGCTTAGCTGGTCAGAAAGAAAGCGTGTCCTCATTTGCGATTAATCCAAAGGAAGAAGTGACCCTGGCCATCCAGTGCTTGGTGGCAGCATGGCCCTCCCTGAGGTGTCCCTGCAGTCCCTGTCCTCAAGAAGCACAGCGTCTAGTTGAAGAGATGAGTTCTGAATATACAAACCACTAAATAGCAACATAAAACAACCATGTAAGCAGCACTTAGTTATAAACAATGACGTATGGGCACTGACCCATCTTGAATCTCCACCTGTCTGTCCCTCTGACCCCCCTCTGTGCCCCAAGGCATGAGAACCTTTCCTTCCACTCGTTTAGTTACTGAGCATTAGGTTGAGCTGAGCAAAGAGTGGAGTATGCAATTCGAGAGCGGTCTCCAGGCTGTCCGTGTCCCCGTGGCCACCGCTGGGGGTCAGATTTGGGGTGAAGAATAAGTCACTCTCTGCATGTTGCTTTGTCTCTGCTGAGACGCTTAGAGGACAAGCCGCACAATCTTTCCAGCCCGCTGATTTTCAGCCCAACTGTTCAACCTTGTGCATAAGCTCATGCTTCCAAGTTCTCCCCGATACCAGCATGCTCTCCCCAGCACGCAGCGCTCAGCGTCCCATGGTGTCACGTGGCTTCTAACCCTTCCGCAGTGTAACGAGGCTTGGGGTGACAACGGTGGGCCTGGCGTGCCCACCTGCTTCCTCTCTGGACACAGTACGTCCGTGGCCCAGGTGCCTGCCCCTTTCTCTAGCGAGTGAGCTCCTGCAGGAAAGTGAGCCTCGGTGAGTGCCTGCGCCGTGGGGCAGCCGGGGCGCACGCGGACATTCGGGGTCCACGTCCTCGTCTGTCAGGGCTGGCACACCCCAGCCCAGGGACGGGTTGGGGGCAGAAGACGTCACACCGTGTTCTGCTTGGCTGAGGGGTGGACACACGTGAGCTCAGTTTTACCACGAGCATTTGCTGCGGTCCAATTCCGTGACGGTGTCATTCCCATAAGCTGCTTGGGGACATAAAGGACAAGAGCACTGTTAGGGGACTGAGGAGATGGCCAGAGAAGTGGACACCAGTCAGCCCTGTCAGCAGCTGAATGTTCTTTTCAAAGACAATTGAATTGCTTAACATTTTTATGCTCTGTAATGACACGTTCACCTGGACTTTTCTTTTCTCATAAACTCTTCCGTTTCTTAACTTTCTGTTGCAAAAGTGATGGGACAGACGTCGAACTGTGAATGAGGCCCTGAAATGCACTAAGCCGTGTTAAATTAAACCTGAGCTACTTGATGCCATGAAGAAATGCATCCGATCTGCTTGTATTTATTGTCTCAGACCTGTAAGATTTGTACGTTGTGACAATCAAATGTGACTCGCCTCAATGCCGGGAAATTCCACTGGCTTCTTAACCATAAAGACCGTCCGCAAGTACTGTAACTGTAAATGAGCATCTCTCTCTGGAAAACCACGCAAACCCCCGACTCGGTGCGTGCGACGGACGTCGGGGTTCTTTTTCTATTACTGATGATCGGTCCTACCTGACTGTCGGCCAGTTTCTAAGTGATGAATTCTATACAGGGTGCAAATGTACTATATGGATGTTTCCTTTTGTACACTTCATTTTTACAAGTTTTGCTACTCACAAGCTTTATGTAGTCGAGGATAGCGGTATTTTTGGCCAGTGGGGCCTGTGGGGACGGGGTGGGGATGGGCGAGCTAGCTGAGATTTTACCAGCCTGCGTCCCAAACAGCCGGCCACGTTTGCCGCGCTCTGTGGAGATCACTCTGCACGTGGGCGCGTGCGGGCCCGCCGAGCGGTGGTACTTTCTAGATAAAATGCTGCGGGCGCCACGTGCGCCTCTTAACATTGCTGCTGTTGGCAGAGAGCGAGGAGACATCCGTGAACGTCGTCTCCGGCGGGTCCCCTGGGGAGGCGGTGGACGCCCGGGCCGCCACCCACAGCGACCGCCCCCGCGGGGGCCGCTCTAGCTGGGGCCGTCTGCTGGGGGCGCTTCCCACGCTTCTCCATTTCATGTAAGATGCTTTCGGAAGGGAAATCGGAAAGGAGAGTGAGCATCTGGCGAGGGCACAGGAGAGAATCAGCTGGGGCACAAGGTGCTCAGTGCCCTGTGCCTAAACGCGGGTCTTAAAAGCCATCAAGGACAAAAAGGTTTTCCAAAGTAGGCATGTATATATCAAAAATTATTTTTTTGTAACAACAAAATCGTTCTGTGGAGAAAATCGAGGAACAATTTTTCTTCTTTATAAAGAAAAGAACTCTTGTTAGAACCAAGAGCTATTCCAGGTTCTCATTTGTCTGTCTTGTGAAAATAAATCGAGCTGAAAGAGTCGTGGTGCGTCCTGTGCTCGGGCAGCAGCCCCCGGTGAGGTGCTTTCCTGCCCTGCCCCCTCGGGGCTGTGGCGGCGGGGACGGGGCCACGTCCACGCTCCGCTCAGGCCACCTGAGACCAGGCTCAGATGGGCTCTCCCGAAAGCCCCACATCTAGACTCACTTTAAAAACTGTTCGTGGGGCGCCTGGGTGGCTCAGTCGGTTAAGCGACTGCCTTCGGCTCAGGTCACGATCCCGGAGTCCCGGGATCGAGTCTGGCATTGGGCTCCCTGCTCGGCAGGGAGTCTGCTTCTCCCTCTGACCCTCCCCTCTCTCATGCTCTTTATCTCATTCTCTCTCTCAAATAAAAAAATAAATAAATAAAAAACAACAAAACTGTTAGTCTCAGAGGGGCGCCTGGTGGCTCCGTCAGTTAAGCATCCGACTTGGTTCCGGCTCAGGTCGCGATCTCAGGGTCGTGGGATCGAGCCCCACGTTGGGCTCCGCGCTGGTGTGGAGGCTGCTGGAGATTCTCTCTCTCGGCGCCCCTCCCCCCTCCCACGCTCACACTCTCTCTTTCTCTCTCTCAAATAATAAATAAACCTCTAAACAATAGAAACATCGGTCCTCAGAGCACACACACGCGCACTCAGGTGTGGGGTCTGGGGCGAGGGGGGCTCTTTTCCCGGGAGACAAAACCGAAGGGCCCCGTGCCACTTGGCGTTTGGGGTTGGCAGGGTTGGGCCAGACCCTCGTCCCTGGGCATGCCGCTCTGCTCTGCCCATGTGCTGGGTCCTGTTGGGGTGCGACCATCCACTGGCAAGGACAGGCGGCTGTGGAGGCCACCCCGGACTCCTCACCTGGAGTTTTGTGCCCATCCGGGGTGCCCGGGAGGCGGGCCACGCTTCCTCGTGAGGCCCACCTGCCATGCTGGCCGCGCCCCCCCCTCTGCTTTGGCTCTGCAGGGGGGGCTCCGAATGTAGGCACCAGCCCCTGGCCACCTGATATAAGAGGTGGGGGGGGGGTGCACACACACACACATGGACGCACAAACACACACCCCAACCCAAACTGTAAGGGGAAAGCAGGGGGTGCGCACATAAGAGCAATCCCGTTAGGAAATGGTAGGAAATCACAACTCTATGCTCTGGAAATCATCCTTATTTTCATGTTTCCTCACGTTTCACGTAATGCCCGAGACCGCTGAACTGTCCAGGCGACCCCACAGCGGTGGAATTTCCAGAAGGAAAAGCTCCTCTTGCCAAAGTGCTCCCCAGAGGCTAAAAACTCAGTGAAGGACTCGAGTTGCCCTGGGGTGTCTCAGAGGAGGCAGGTGACGTCACCAGGTGCAGGCTCCAGCTCCGCCCACTCCCGGGCGGACATCCTACCGAGAAGCATGTTGTGGGGAAAGCGGGCAGAAGAAATGCATGGGGTGTATGGAAGGTGTGACGTGTGGGGGTTAGGGGCACGGTGTTTTCAGCTCTGCCCCAGCGAGAATCTGGCAGGTGGTTGAGAGGATTCCCCCCCACTGCCTGGAGCGGGGCCCGACCCCCTAAGATCACACCAGTGGGCTCCAGTAAGGCCTGCAAACTGCCTTCCCGAGGGATGTGTCTGGTAGAACAGGGTGTGTAAGTCTATGCGCAGGGACGATCGCTCCATCCAGGAGCAGCAAGCCCAGTGCTGTCCCAGCCCTGACCCCCTTCCCCATGTACTGAGTACGGAAGGGGAGGCGCTAGGAGGGCACAGGAGGGGCTCGCTGAGGTCCCAGAGCGCTCTGAGCCAGCAGGTGTGTGCAGGGGCCTGGGAGTGTCCTTGGACACAAGCAAATGCTAAGTGATCTTAAACCAAGACTGGCGCCGGGGGAGAGGATGGCTGGCTCCAGCCTGTTTGCAAAACCACCGCAAGATCTAAGGTCCCCTCGGGAGGCATCTTGAGGGTGGGATTCTCCTTCCATCCTGGAGGGACAGGAGCCCATATGCCAGGGCCCAGAGACTTGTAAGGACTCCCGGGAGCTGCAGAGCTGGAGTGCGCCTCGCCCAGGCGGGGCTCTCAACCACCGCACAGGACCGGAGAGCCTCCTGGCGCATAGTGGCCCCACAGACTGTTCTCAAATGCACTTGACGTCCTGGTAAAGGAGACCCCCGGCTGAGGCCCGATGTGGGGCCCCATCCCCAGACCCCGAGATCACGACCTGAGCCAGCCAGGCACCCCCTGCTTCGACTTTTGGAAACACCTTTTCCAGGGCCTTCCTCTGTTACAACCGCGTAAACAGATCACGGCTTGGTCTCAGCCTGGGAGAATTCCAAAGGGCTTCTCTCATGGAGGGAAGACAGGAGAGCGAACTGGCCGCCCCCCTGCACCCACCCCCGAGTGCAAACAGTCTGAGGGTGGACAGCCGCCCCTTCCTCAGAGCACAGCAGAGCTGCCGGGAGGCTGCCTCTCTCCTGGGATGTCCCTGTCTCGGGTTGTGGGAATCGAAGGGTGGAGATGGACCTCGGGTGTCATCCATCAAGCGGGTCCTGGGTCCTGTGTGCCCAGCACCTGCCGAGGCCACACGGCCTAGCCGGTCATCGTCCCATGCCCCCCAAGCACGCAGACGAGCAGAGGGAGTTGGCCATGTGACAGGCACCCCAGCCAGGCTGCGTTACCAACTCCCTCCCAGCAGGAAAGAGTCTCCCCAGGGACTCCCCGCAGGACAGGGCAGGCCGGGGCCCCTGCAGATGGGGGGGCAAGGAGCAGCCAGCCCAGGCCACTGTCGGGGAGCAACAGAGCTGGCCAGGGGCTGAGGCGGCAAAGACTGAGCTGGTTCTGGAGAGCTGCCGCGGGAGGGAGGGGCCCCAGCATGACCCGAGCCCTGCTTCCCTGGGACAGACGCTGGAGACTCTCCGGGGCCGGGTGTGCAGAGGAGAGGCTCAGAGGGCGCTGTGTGTGCCGGGGTGGGGGGCCCGTGTGACCAGGTCACCTGGGTTGGCTACCTGGCACCTCCCGGAGGAGAAAGAAACTCCCGGACCCCTAGGACAGAGGCCGTGATGCACTCGGAGCAAGGCGCCCACGGGGTCGGGCCCTGACCTCCCAGGGGGGCCGGGAGGGAGAGCGGAGCCCTGAGTGTATGCGGCCCGGCCGCTCCCGGGTCCTCGAGGGGACAGTTCTGGGCGGTGGGCGATGGGCGTCTCGAAGTGCAGAGGATTTAGAATCGCAGGGTGTGTTGTGAGGCTGGAGCTGGTATTTTGAACTATGACCAGCTGAAGGAGGGCCACAGACCCGGACCTCAGCAGCCTTCGGGGACGGGAGACCCACGGGCCGCCGGTTTGACCAGCGGTTTCAGTCCAGCCCATGACAGAAGTAGAGTCACAGGTTTATTCCTTACAGATCCCCGTCGAAGACACTCGATGGGCCAAGGAAGGGCCGTCCTTGGTCCCCGGTCACGAGCGGGCAGGAGGTAGGCAGATGGTACGGTACCTCTTACCAGGTGGTTGGGGTGGAGGTCGCTAACTTTCCATGGACTCAACTGTGAGTGGTCATTTTTATTTTATTTTATTTTTAAAGATTTATTTATTCATTTGAGAGAGAGAGGGAGAGAGAGAGAGAGCAGGGGCAGGAGCAGAGGGAGAGAGAGAATCTCCAGCAGACTCCCCGCCGAGCACGGAGCCTAACACGGGGTTCGATCCCACGACCCTGAGATCGTGACCTGAGCGGAAACAGAGTCAGACGCTCACCTAACTGAGCCACCCAGGCGCCCCTGAGTGGTCATTTTAAAACGTGCCTGGGAAAAGCAAAGCAGGAACTGCGGGGAGGCCTCCTAAGCCCCAGTCCTTATCTGAATGTCCAGACTCGGGGTGTGAGCGGGTTGTCATCTGTGAAATGCCCAGGCGGCAACTCGGAAAGACAGTTGTTTTCCTCATCACACAGCTTTCTTGGGCACTGTTCCGAGAGGGGCTCCAGGGCCCCCCGGCCTGTCCCAGGTTTGGGCTGGCACAAACAGTAAAGACTCCGTGCAGCCCTGAGCATGTTAGGAGGAGCTGGGGTCATCCTGGACACAACAGCCTTGAGCTCGTGTCTGGCCGCGTCTCAGCGCAGGGTCCGGCCCTGATGTTCTCACCG